TTTTGGGGCGGTGGAGAGACGAACCGATCAAAGCTGGCGCCTTGGAGGAGATTGTGGCTTAGATCCAGGCGCTTGATCTTGGGCAGCTGCCAGAGCTGTGGAGGGATCTCGCCCGAGAGGGCGTTGTTGCTGAGATCGAGCTCCTCGAGTACCGGGAGCCCTAGCAGCGCGGTGGCGGCGGAGATTGGGCCTTGCAGCTCCAGGCCGCTGAGCGAGATGGCCACGATTGCCCCCGTGGACGCGCACGAGATCCCTGTCCATTTCTTGGCGCCGCATGGCGACGAACCGATGATCCAGTCGCCCAGAGCCTGGGAATTGGTGAGCCCACTTCGGAAATCCAGGAGAGGATTCACGCTCGCCCCGCTGCTCGTCGAAATCCACAGCCCAGTGACAAGAATGGCGATGAAATTCGCGATCATGGTCGCGAGCTGGAATTCTCTTCTCTTCTCTTCCCTCCCTCCTGTGTGATCAGCCGATTCTTTCTTTGCCCATTCTTTTCCTTTTCTTTCCTCGCCGCGACTGTTTCTAACGTACCAAGGAGGACAAACCACAAGATTTCGGCCAAACTGTTCTTCCTTTGGCGGCTACTCGCGCGATCGAAAGCGGGGAGAAAGAAAAAACTAGAGCTTGATCGAGAAGTAGAGATCCCAGGGGTGAAAAAGAAAAGGATAGAAATCACGCCGTTACGGTGGATCCAAAGAGCGTATCACCCGCCAACCTGAAGATCACGAAACAATGATCTACTTTCTCTCCCTTGCGCGATCCAAGACTCTCGCATTTCTTGCATTGCTCGAGACACCATCGCCATTCCCCTCACACACCACCCCCGGCGGGCGCGTCACGAAGAACAAGCCCATCACAAACTAGAAAAAACAAAGAGATTTTTTACAAGCTCGCTGTCACGCAGAAATGGCACCCACACGAGAGAGGCGAGAGATCGCTTTAGGAGAATGGAATGCCGAATGGAATGGAATGGAATGGGATGGATGGACCGATCGATTCGTGCGAGGAATTTCACCAAGATTCGCTGCTGCTGCTGCTGCTGCTGCTGCTCTTTTTCTGGCTGCTGCTGCCCATGACAAGGAATTCATTCTGGGCTGAGGAAATGTCATGCCAAACAGCGCACTCTCATGCCCCGCAAAAGAGTCAAACAAAGAAATTATTCGCAAGCAACAAAAGGGCGAACAGGGGCATATTCCACGCATGGCTGGGGTGTGTAATTTAACATAACAGATCTCCTTTAAAACTTTAGTGTAAACAAAAAGGTGGCGCTGGCCCCATGGTTCTTCTTCTTTTCAATTTTCTTCTCTTTTTTCTTTTAATTTTTAAAGCTTGTTTTTTATTGCACTGGACAAGATGACGACAGAATGCAGAACATCGGACATCTCAGTTTTATATTTTATGAAAATACCTCTTTGGGTTTGTGAAGCTGTAAAATGGCATACTATCGCTATACGAGAAGCCTCTATACAGAGACATGTATACAATAATACAGCAACCTCCCGCTGCCTTGGTGAAAGTGATGAAGTTTCAACAGTTTGTTGTCTCACTCAACCTCTTTCAATTCCTGTACTCAGGACTAGAACAAAATGTTGAACTTTTGTTTGTCTTCTCATTCTTTTGAGGCTGGCGCTGCTGCTGCTGCTGCTGGCTGGCTGGCTGGCTAGACTGGCACTGCCTTTCGTTATTTTCGCGAAAGTACACGACCCCTAGGACTGTAACATGTTGTGTGGCACTTCGCGCGATGAAAGGAATCATCCCAGGGAAGAGCGTAACATACAAAGCGGTAACAGGATACAGAGTTAGCCTAGAGAATGACATGAGTTCCATTCACGAGTGTTTTGTCATCACAAAGCCTGGCTTGACATGAAGTTCAGCATCACAAGTGAACTCAGAGGAGAGGAAAAGTGGCCTTTACTCCAAGATCAGGGCTAGAGCTGATGCTACAAGTACATGCTACTTGCTATAGGGAGTATGGTATTATGATAACATTGTTTTCCAACCAGCTGTGGCTGCACTGGTGGCAGTGGTCTGGACAGTTTCCTGGGAGAGGGTCAGGAACTCAGCAGGGACTCCATTATCTATTTCTCTATCTATCATTCTCCAGCTCAATTTGTACAGGAAGAAAAAGCTGTGTACATGAAAGTCATGACCAGCAACAAACTATTCAGTTTATTTTATTTGCATTTTGTAATATTTGTTTTTCATGAGCACAAGGGAATAGTTGGTCTTCAATCAAAAACCTACAGCCACCTTTTTCCATCGTGCAATGCAGCTATGGGAGATATATATATATATTTTCTGATTGACAGGAGGGCAAAGCAGTTTTTGGGCATTGTTTGTACACTTTTTTCAAAGTTTTTTCTATTTCTTATGGTATTATCAACTTATTCTATCTTACAAAACAAACTTACCAATATTGTCTCTGGAATATCTTTGGCGTTGCTTGCATGCCTACATCTGATATGATCCAGACTACAAACACATGTCGCTCTGTGGGGAGGACGAAACATATGCAATTCCTTCCAGAAACAAAACCAAATATCTTTTGCTCTAATGTAGTTTTTTGATGCATTGCGTGTGCTGATGAGCAGAGCAGACTGTGATTGATTTGATTTGATTCACAGAACGCCTTGAGTGCCAAGCAAAAAATCCCCGAAATCCCCCAACTTTCTGAAGAAGTTCATGCGCCATTCTGTGTAGGAGCCTCCTTTGACAATAATATATTCCCAATGACCTCACGTGATCGAATAAATACGCTATACAAGGCTCAAGTACAGAAGCTCTCCCGGGAAAACATAACTTATACCTCTGGATTCATCCGTGCTCCCTCATGTCAAGCAAACTTCCTTGAAATCGGATTCCTGGGAAACTTTGTTTATGACTCCAACCATTTGGGGGAATCGAAACCAAGAGAAAGAAAAAAAAGTTTTTGAAAGAACACATGAGTGACAAAGCTCGGAGTCCAAGTTTACAAAGCTCGAGGCTTACGAGATCGCAGTTAAAACGGGGGTACATTGAAGTCATCCTGTAACATATCACAGCAGCAAATCTGGCCTCAAGAACACTCAACTCCAGAAGATGGTCTTTTAAAAATCCGTGTTTTCAAATTGATGTTGTTTTCTCATGTGCATTGAGCATTGGAATCACTGAAACACGAGCTCCCCACTCTGGCATCATAACTTGCTTGGGGATCAGCTCTTGCGCTGCCCTCCCATCGCTCAAAGTTTCTCGTGATCCATCCATGGCAATTTTTACAAATGCTCTCTTTCTTCCACTTAAATCTCCTTGATTATCAACATATACTTACTGGTCGTCGTGTCGTGCATTGGGATTCCCACGTGTTTTCTAATCCGTGATTAAGAATCTCGTTTTACTTTTCAACTGCGTGCTCGATCCAACCTGTGAATACAATAACCCAAAACAGAGAATCTCTCGAGCTATATAAACGCAGGGCGTCTCCATTTGTGGCCATCCAGCACCAAAGCTTCCACAAGTTCTCTCCTTTGTCACCAAAGAGCAACTTTAATCTACTTTCATTAATGGCTGCTTCCATCTCCCGTGTGGCTCTCGCATTCGCGCTCATGCTCGTGCTCGCGTTCATTGCTGTGGAGCTGAGCGTCGCGGATCCAACATGCAGCCCGGCGGGTCGCCAGTACTGCAATCCCGGTCGATGCTGCAGTCGATTCAACTGGTGTGGAACCGGGCGAGCGTACTGCGGGCGAGGGAATTGCATCGCCGGCCCGTGCTGGAGGTCTGCCGCAGCAGCGGAGTTCCACATCACGGCTGCTACGAACTATAGCTATCCTCTTGTTGTGGCTGCCGACGAGGAGCTCCCGTGAAGAACACCAAGCCAAGTTGCAATGGCCAGGATGGCTAATCTTACAATAAGTGTGTGATGTCCTCTATCAAAAGATGGTAAAACATCCTTCTTGGCAATATAATAAACTTTTGTGTGTTGGTTTGCATCTTTTCCATGATTAACACCTCCTTTCCCCATGGCTGAAATCTCTCCTAGTGCTTGGAATGAAGAAAGGTGGCCTGCTAAGCGAGAAGTTTTACCGGAAAGAGCTTTTTTGACCATGGATGGATTCCAAGTTGCAATGTTCTCTCGGGCACTGCCTGGTAGTGCTGCTGCTATGATATGACTGGTTTACCATTCACCCCACTAAAAGCATTTGGTGCTTTTGATTGGGCTAGGACACGCATTCCCATTTACATGAATGAGCTGTAGTTGATACCATATCGCTTTCACAAGTCTTGGATTTTCTTTCTAGTTTTTCTCCTCAAGAGGCAAATCTCCGAGGAAAAGAAGGACTAAAACAAGCCAGCTACACTACAACACAAATAGCTTAAATAAATTCCAAACCTGTGGATGTATATATCTACTGCTGCTGCTGCTGCTGCTGCTGCGTTTGGATCTGTGATGGCTGCTGCTGATTTTGCTGCTGGTAATTTAGAGGCCTTCTAAAGAGCATAATGTGCGGCTCCGGTCTGTGAATCGCGTAGTGAACCCAGCCTCTAGACTGCTGCACTCCAATTGTCCTCCATTCGTTCTAGAAATTTGAGAGAAAACAAGCGGGTTAAGCAAAAACAAATGCAAAGAAGAAGAACGCAAACACCTCTGTGAGAAGCTTGTTCTTTGGAAGAGCCTTGGCAACATCAGGTGGCAGCACGACATGCCTGGAAGAAAAACCAAGAAAAGAACCACCACAGATGAAGAAAAAAATGATTTTTTTCCGTGCACAACAGCTGAACTCACCGATACTCGTAGACGTCGTCGAAGTACTTCTCCGAGTACTGGATGGACGGCATTTCTTTCAAGATCGCCCGAAACTCTTCCAAGAAGACTCACAAACAAGGAGATCGGCAGCTTCGTTTGCGCTCCAATCGTGCAACCCTAGAACCCAAGGAAAAGTGGATCCAGCCGTTGACCCACCGACGGTGACGATTGTTTGAAACTATCAGGGGAATATTCTCATTTATAGAACTGTGTTTTTTCATGGGCAACTTGCTGGATTGTATCCAGGCCCTCCAAAGAAGAAGAAAGTTGCCCAGTTCGTATCGTTGTAAGTTGGATCTCCAACGTTGTAGCATCCAGGAGCTGCTACAATCCATTGCCCCAGGCTCGTGGCATCGTACAGTTTAAAATCTTGCTTCACAGTCTGGATTTTCCGATGGTAGGCTGCGTATCGAAATAATGCGCTTGGAAATCGACCACTCCCCATTTGCGTTCTTGTGTGCCTGACCCCATTCATCTGAATAGATAGAGATTAGATTCGATCGACTCTAAAAAGTTTGAGAGGGACACTCACTTTGTCGTAGTAAATCTCACCGCCACTTGCAACTTCGGTGGCACCAAGTCGAAACTCTTGCAAGAACGAGTCACGCCAGTAACCCACGTAAGTTCCAGCTAATCGCAGCCACCAATTCTTTGTTTTTTGGTCCTAAAGTTTATGCGATCTTTAGCTTCTAAATAATCTTACTTTAAAGTTACCTGGAACACGAGAAACTCTAGTTCTTGTTGAGAAGATCCGGACGTGGATTGAGCTAATACTCCCTCCAGGACGATTGTGTTGCTTACTTGGACAAATCCAGGGCATTTCAAGTTGTAGCATCCAGTTTTGTTGTACCCATCCGCCTAAGAATTCAATATCATCACCCACAAGAATATAATAATACAGATCAATCTACCGTCCAATAGACGAAAAGTCTTGGTTGGTATCCACCGTATAGAGCTGGGTACACCTACAAAACTTGTATAACGACCTAACGATGGAAGAAGACTATAGACAGACTTGCCATCCGGCCTCAATAGTGTTTCGTGGAGTTCCTCGACTTGTTCTGGATGATATAAGCCAGAGTTGTGATAAGCTAAACTCGGAGGCCTTCTCCACGTACGGTTGCCATACGTTGATGGTTGTGGAGAATCCTAGAAAGCTTCCCGTAGTATACAGAGCAGCATGCTACAAAGAATATGGTCAGCCAATATTTTGTAGATTTTAGAACATTGTGACAAGAGAACCTGATGTGTTTCTATGCCGCTTAATGTCTGTGGAGTAGCAAATTTCTTTGTATACCCGGCTTCTTTCTTCATAATAAACTCATTCGTTCCAAGATTGTAGTTGTGTTTTGAGGCATGGTGAATGGGTATTTGGCCCATTGGACATGATCCGAATTCTTTTGCAAACATCTGAACAAGCGAAGGCTTTTGTGTTGCATTTCCAAATGCACGCTGGTGCGCTACAGATGGTTCCATCTGGACAAGGGGAGATCTCTCTACAACAGTAAAAGTGACCAAGTCTTTTTCACCTGGATGGGAGAAGGGTCTGTCAAAGAAGGCTGATCTTGTATTGTGATGCATTTTACAATGTCTCCATTTGATAACTGGAACCAGATTAAACGGAAAACTGTATACTAGTTCGTTAAACATTAGGTACCTTGAAAACTTTTGAATAGGCACCAGCAAACAGAGCACAGACAAAAAACCAAAATGGCTCCATATACAATGTGATACTAGAATCCCAAAAATTTGGAATAGAAGTTGTTGATAGTCTTCTGTAAATCTTCCATATTTTTAGATTTAATGGTTATTATTTTTTTTTAAAAAAATTATTTTTATAGGTTAGATATTTTGATTACAATAATATATATTTTAAAAATAGAATATATATATATATATATATATATATAATAATAAATAAAAGGTAATATGCTAATTATAGTATTATAGCATATTTGGGACTAAATTTGGTCCATCCATTATTGCATATAAGCAAGTGTTTAATTACCAATTAATGTACCTCTTCTTATATCTTGAGCATTCACATTGGTCGAAGTGAGGGGCATTACAATTTGTAGAGAGTAAAGGGTTTTGACAATGCTTTGCTCAATATTTAGGATTATACTTTTATTTTTATTTCTTCATTCTTTTTTTGATCTACACTTATATACCTATTAAATTAGTTTTTACTTTTCAATCTTTATTACAATCTCTTCTTCCACCATGTCATGTCATTAGTAATTGAGGAGTCTATTGTCTAAGACTACAAATGATGCATTATTGTTGTCACTTAACAATGTTATTCTTGTGGCTATATCCTTTTTAGAGTAAACTTTTGGTGTTGTGTGGCATGATTCTATTGATGTTGGTCTAATCTTTGATGTGTTATTATATCTAGCTTCTATGTAACATGATTATGTGGCTTCTTCTATTCTCAATCTCCTGATATCTCTTACTGATATGGAGTACAATTGTGATATCAATAAGAGAGCTGATTGTAATTTAACTAAACATATGTTCTAGACTTAGTCATTTGTAGGTGTGCTAGCCAGAAATGGCATACACTATATTTATAAATGGTAATGGCAAAGTTAGCTTACTATAAAAATTAAGCTCTCTTTACACAAACTCTTGAATTGAATCAACACTAGTCAGTTCTTTTGCTACCTTTCTCTTACCTTGCATCTTAGATTGGTGTTCTTAGCCTACAGTTTTGATAATTGCTATAATGATGTTGTGAATGTGATTATAGGTATCAAAATTTACATGTTAATGAGTCTTTTTGGATATTCTTCTTTTACTGCCACAATGGTAAAAAGTTGGTATTGTTAAACCTTATTCAATCTCTGCCCAAGCTAGTAGAGAAATTAGTCATCATGTATATACTTTTGCCAAATAAACATAAAGTAGAAACTTCTATATATTACCTGTTGAGCATACTCGGCCTAGCTTGCACTTGATAGTGTTGGAAACCTTTGTGATATTGAGTTTGGTCTCTCAATATTTTTTATGTAATAACTTACTATATCTAGCAAGACACCCTATCATTTCCCATATGTTAGTTTTGTTTGAAAGTGTCTAAATTAGCAAGTAAGGTATATTTGTAGAATGTAGAAATTGTTTTGAACACAATAGTGTTATTCACATATTCAAATTTAAAATTTAGCATCATTTCATATTTAATAAATTTTTGTTCATGGGATTGGGGTGAAAGCCCAAAATGTGCTTTCATATAGATATAAAAGGAGGGGAACATATAGTAGGGATAGTGGGTATATTGGGTATGGTTGATCAATTTGAGGTATAGTTTAACTCTCTGCTTGTATATTTGTCTTTGTTTTGCATCTAATTTGGGTCTAAGCCCAAATTCCATACCATGCTAACTGGTGGAATATTTATATTTTCACATTAAACTACCAATATGCTAAAATAACACTAAACTCTTATTTTGCATGTTGGCTCTAGCATTGAGATGGTGGATGCTTAAGGACTGTTCCAATATCACTCTATACTTCTATTATTTTGTTCTTTAGGCTATACACTCAAAAGTCATTCTATGCTTTCATTTTTTTATTCTTTAGTTGTATGATTGAGAGTTTAGCTTTGTTCCTTTATTTAATAGCCAGAGCTTTGAAATTCAAATTCCACTTCAATACCCTTGGCCCATACATTTAAAGTTTATATTCTATTTTGTGGTTATTCTATAATAAATCACTATAGGGTCAAGGGTGAAAATCATATGTGACACAGATGAGAAGTCATCCAAGATCATATCATTGGCATAATCAAAATCCTTTATATACTTTTAATTTTAAATTAACAAAATCAAAGAGGAGTGTGAAGCCCTTATTAAGGTGGGGTTGTTATTGTATCTAGATGTTATCTTTGTAACAAAATAATCTAAAATTGATAGTATATGATTTCAAATTATAGTTTTTATTTTTGATTATTATTTTGACTAATTTTTATTAGTATTTTTAATATTAATATTTTTTAAATGTAATTTTGGACAGAAAAAAGGATAAATATTTTTATTTTATATTTATAGTAATAATAATTTAATTTATATATTTTAAAAATATGCATATTTATGTAATATAATAATATTTTACACCACTTAGTATAACAAAAAACATAAATTGTTATTAAATACATGTTAAATTTTATTTTAAGTCTGTATTAAGTTCTAAAACATTATTATTTTGTGTTGGAATAACTAGATTTAATATGAAAAACTATTTTTCTCTTTTTTATAAGAGTTTTATGATATTTTAAATAATGTAGAAATAAATTATAAGAATTATATTTTTCTATTAATTTTAGTCTCAAAAGTACTCGGTGAAGATCCTAAAGAGGATCTAGGAGGAGGCTTTCTCCTCGAAAGTTTTAATGTCTTATTCGCAAGGTTTTTCTGTGGAGGCATTAGCCAGCAAAGAAAAATTGTAACAGGCAGGATGCTTTGGTGGCAGAAAGGGAGTGATTAGAAAAACTTGTCCAAAGTCACAGGATGCATTTGAGCGGTACTTGACTTTTTTTTGCGTCATGACAAGCTTGATCATCTCTTGTGAGATTTGGAAGTTGTGAGATATGGTTCTTTCGAGGGTGAAATGTTTGAACTTGTGTGCCATCGCCGACTTTCACCACATGAAATGGATACGACTTATTCCATCACAAAACAAAAAGCTTGTCAAAATACACCGGCTCGAGTTGTGTTTAATATCATTCACCACCGTGGCACCCGTGCTCAATACGGCAAGGCTCTATCTATAAATGCAACCCTTCCAGACGTTTCAAAGGCCAGGCCTTTCGAGTGAAGCTAAAGCTCAAGCGGATAGATGGCGATCATGTCCTTCGTGCTTGTGTTGTTGCTGGCTCTGCATGGAAGTGCTCTGGGCCAAACTTTGAACTCCAGCTTCTACCGCTCCTCGTGCCCAAATCTCACCACCATCGTGAGAGCTGCAGTGCAGCAGGCCGTCCAGGCAGAGGCTCGAATCGCAGCCTCGTTTGTTCGCCTCCATTTCCACGACTGCTTTGTCAATGTAGAAAGCTTCCATAACTTTCATTCAAGCATATTGAAAGAACCATGCATTTGTCTTGCAGGGATGCGATGCTTCCATTCTTCTCGACGGCACAAACCTGGAGCAAAACGCGTTTCCAAACGCTGGCTCCGCCCGTGGCTTCGACATCGTCGACTCCATCAAGAGCTCCGTCGAGAGCTCCTGCCCGGGTGTTGTCTCCTGCGCTGACTTACTGGCGCTCATTGCCCGGGACTCCGTAGTCGCGGTAAACTCTCAAAGTGAACGGTCAAAAGCTTACAATGTCAACGCTTTTCGTTTTGTGGTGTTTTTACAGCTGAACGGGCCTTCGTGGACGGTGGTGTTTGGAAGGAGGGATAGCTTAACAGCAAGCCAATCTGCCGCAAATGCCAACCTTCCTCCTCCAACTTTGAATGCCTCAGCTCTCATCACGAGTTTTCAAAACCAGGGGCTTTCAACCACAGATATGGTGGCTCTCTCCGGGGCTCACACCATTGGGCAGGCCCGGTGCACCACCTTTAAGGCTCGGCTCTACGGGCCCTTCCAAAGAGGTGACCAGATGGATCAAAGTTTTAACACCTCGTTGCAAAGCTCGTGCCCGAGCAGCAATGGCGACACCAATCTCTCGCCGCTCGACGTCCAGACGCCCACCAGCTTTGACAATCGCTACTTTAGGAACTTGCAGAGTCGGAGAGGGTTGCTTTTCTCGGACCAGACGCTCTTTTCGGGGAACCAGGCCAGCACGAGGAATCTCGTCAACTCATACGCTTCGAGCCAGAGCACTTTCTTCCAGGACTTTGGCAATGCAATGGTAAGGATGGGCAATATCAATGTGTTGACTGGATCCAATGGAGAGATTCGAAGAAACTGTGGAAGAACAAACTAGCTTGAGAAGAAGTATACTTGATAAACACCTTGGAACCAAGATAATTTTTATATATTGAAAAATTCTAGTTCACTTTGCCACAGTATTTACAATTTGGAGCCAAGAGCGGCTTGATATTGATCATTCCAGTCGCAAAGTCCCGGAAAAATCGCACTTGATCCATGGCATAAGTGTGCACCAGCTGCGCAACTGTCCAATCACCACCACTCCACAGTGTCTGGTCAGAGTGGAACAATCCACTGAAATTTATCAAGTTCTTGTAGTACTTGTTGTCAAACACCACTCGAGTTTGCAAATCTAGAGGAGAAAGATTTGAGTCACCACCACTGCTGGGACACTGGCTCCTGAGCGATTGGTTGTAGTAAGGGTCATATAATCTGGCGAAGAGCTCAGCGATGGACCATAATCCAAGCTCTTCTGTTTCGCCCAGAGCTGAGCATACCGCCCAGCTCTTGCAAAGCTAACAGAAACGTATACCTCGTCGCAGTTCAGTGCTGTTGTGAGACGGTGAGCAATGAATATGGCGGCCGCGAGAGACGATAGAATTTCTGCCT